TTTCTCATTGATCTTTTTGGCCAATGTCTTCAGTTTGTAAGGCCAGGCCTTCAAATATACCATGTCCCTAATCTGAAATTTCACTTCTCGTCGCCCTTTATCTACCTGCCCTTTCATTCTCAATTGTGCTCTAATTAAGTGTTGCTTGAGCTCCTCTATGATATTATCCCAAAACTATAACAGTTGGTCTACTTCAGCAACCACCGTGCTGTCCCGACAATAAGGAATAACCATGGGAGGGTCACGGCCATACAATGCCTTAAAGGAAGTCATCTTGATGGATACAATACCATGGGAGGGTCACGGCCATACATTCCCCTTAGCAGCTCATCTCCCAGAACCTCTTCAGCCAGCTCTACCAAGTTAGAGTTGGTGACCATTGATATGGCACTACAAGTCATGACGGGGATAATGCATTAGCTGCCTTGTCCTCCAGTCCCAGTTTGTATTGAATTTCAAAGTCAAAGCCCATTAATTTAGTGACCCACTTCAGTTGCTTCCCCACCAATACACGTTGCTCTAATAAAAACTTCAGACTCTTTTGATCAGTCTGAATAATGAAGTGATAATCCAGCAGGTATTGTCGCCACTTCTGGAAAGCAAACATAATTGCTATTAATTCCTGTTCAAAAACTGATTTCACCTTATTTTGGTCTGATAGAGCTTGACTAATAAAGGCAAGAGGTAGGCCTTGTTGCATTAGAATTGCCCCCAACCCCTATCCTGAGGCGTCGGTTTCCACCGCAAAGGGTAAATCAAAGTTCGGCATCGCTAATATAGGCAACACCTCCATTTCCCATTTGAGCTTTTCAAATGCTGCTTGCTCTTGCGCTGACCATTTGAAACTGTTTTTCTTTAGCAGCTGTGTCAGGGGTTTAGCAATAATTCCATATTTCCTTACGAAACAACAGTAATACCCTGTCAAGCCCAAGAAACCTCTCAAACTTCGAAGGTCTTTAGGTTTTGGCCACTGTCTCATGGCGGAGACCTTTGCAAGGTCACCAGAGATCCCAAAAGAGGAAATGGCATGCCCTAGATATTCTAACTATTGATTCCCCAAAACTGCACTTCTTGCCATTAACCCACAGCTCCTGGCTTCTCAGTAGTTGAAGAACCAAGCGCAAATGACCAATGTGCAAAGCATAATCTGCGCTATATACTAGAATATCATCAAAAAATACCAATACAAATTTACATAAGTACGGCTTAAAAACCTGATTCATCAGTGTTTGGAAGGTTGAAGGAGTGTTGGTCAACCCGAATGGCATTACCACATACTTGTAGTGCCCTTCATGAGTTCGGAAGGCGGTTTTAGGGACGTCCTCTGGTCTCATTCGTATCTGGTGGTAGCCAGATTTCAAGTCGAGCTTTGAAAAGATGGTTGCCCCTCCCAACTCATCCAAAAGCTCTTCAATGATTGGAATCAGAAATTTGTTTGGAATGGTGATGCTGTTGAGAGCACGATAGTCCACACAAAAACACCAGCTACCGTCTTTTTTCTTTACTAGAATCAGAGGACTAGAATAAGGACTGGTGCTTGGCCTGATCATGCCTACTGCCAACATGTCCTTTACAAATTTTTTGATCTCCTTGTAATGATGTGGGTGTTGATAAGGGTGAATGTTAGGGATCGTAGCTCATTCCTTCAAGATGTTAGCATGGTCACACTCCCTCTGTGGTGGGAGGGAAGTCCCTTCCTTGAATAGCTCACCAAACTCTCGTAATAACTCTTAAATCTTCAGGTGCAGTAACTGATATCTGAGTAGGCATTTCGGAGTAGCCCATGGTCATCATGCCTAATTCGACATAATAAGCCTTTGTCTCACCCCTCAATTCTTTTCTTATTGCCTTGAGCGAAGCCACAGTTTTGGACAGTCCCACGTCCCCCTTGATCTCAATGATCCTTCCATCCTTCTGCACTTCAATCAAATCGCAGGTCTGCACTGAACTTCTCTAGGCTTTTAAGCCACTCGTACCCCAGAACCACGTCTACTCTAACCAAGTCAAACAAAAAAATATCCTGAACTACTTGTAAGTTGGATAACTCCAGTACGATGCCCCTACAAATGCCTTGACTTTCCAATCTCTGACCATCCCTTACCTTAATGATGTACCCTCTTGTAGCTTCTGTTTGTCTTTTCAGCTCTTCCACCAATCCTGGAGATAAGAAATTATGGGAGGCTCCAGAATCTACCATTACGATCACCTTCTTACCTAGAATGGTCCCCCATAACTTCAGGTAATTCTTGGAGGTCATTCCAGCAATGCTGCTTGCGTTCAGCTGGAGGTTCACCTCCTCCTCGTCGACTTCCTCCATGGAAGTCTCCCCATTGTCCACTTTGTCTTCCCCCAACAGAATGACGTGAAGCTGTTTGTGGCGGCATATATGGCCGGGTGAGAGTCGTTCGTTGCAACGGAAACAAAGCCCCCTCCTTCTCTTCTCATTTCCCTCCTCTTTGGTAAGCCGCTTGAACCCTGAGCCTCTTCGGTTTGAGCTCGTCATGGGGGAGTCACGTGAGATATTTTGATTTCCTTGGGTCTTGACCCAGTTTCCATTAGGTCTAGTGGGTTCCTAAACTGTGAGAATTGATTGGGTTCCCTTCCTCCAGCCCAACTCATCTTAGACACTTCTTGGGCTCCTCCTCTTAAGGCCCAATTTGTTTTAAGCCCCGTTGACCCACTAACTTTTCAAGTTGACCCATAAGAAAGGCCCAATATCCTATTCTTCTCTTCTACCTTTTGCGCCAACTCCACGGTTGAGCTCAGGTCTCCGGAGTCTCACAACCTCACTTCCGCCTTGATTTCCTCCTTAAGGCCGTTGAGAAACGCTCCTATCATGAATTCCTCGTTGGCAAAACGCAGTGGGGCGGAATACAACTCGAACTGCTCCCTGTACTCGACCATGGTTCCCCTCTGTTTTAATCCCATCAAAGCTTCATAGGGATTTTCCGATGACAACGCTTGGAACCGGCCTGACAATGCTTGCCGGAAAGCGGGCCATGTGGACGTCGAAACTCTCGGTTCCCACCATTGATATCAATTGAGTACTTTCCCCTCCAAGCAAACCACTGTGCTCCGCCTCAGGTATGTCGTTGATCTCTAAGTACATTTCTGCTTGGTACACCCACCCACAAGGGTCTTCTCCAGTGAAATAAGGTACATCCACTTGCCGTACATGTTCCTCCCTTCCAGGCGTCTCCTTCTTCATTGTTATTCTCCCCTCCCCTCTCTTCTCGAACGATCTGCAAGGCTGTCTCGAACCTCGCTGTCATCATTGTCAACATCTCATCCATTTGCCTTTGGAATTCCTCTTGAATGGAGGCTTGCATGCCCTCTAACTGATGCTCAACATTTTCCAACCGAGTCTCCATTCGTGTTGTTACCACCAGGTGTTCCCAGGATCGGGAGCTTTTATACCAGCTTGATAGGAACTGAGTGTATTTATGGAATTAACACAAAAATCTAAGGGAATACCCTAGTAGTACAGATAGAAGGATGAAATAACAGAAAAAATGACAATGACGAAATGGAACTTTTCCTATGGCAGCAGCCACACCCAATGACCTCCCAAATACCCAACCTCCATATAATCCCTCTCTCTCCCTGCCTCTTTCCTCCCCCCTCTCCTTGCCACGTACGCTAATTTGTTAGTTTGTTAGAATCTAGCATAACGGCCTCCTGGCTCATCCTTCCCATTCTACCCTTTTTCCTTTGATATGTCTTTAACGGGGTCCAATTGGCTTAAACCCAACAGAGACTTTTTGATTATCTAAATTTTTGAAAACTTGGGTACTCAATGACATTGTGTGATCCATGTGGCCTAGCTTACTTGGTAAGACAAGGCTTGGGGGTTGTTGTTTATAGTAAGCTTACCCTGCATATGATAGTTTGAGGGTGGAGCTCAGCATCACTACTGTAATCTTGCACCTCTATGCAATATTGCTGTTTTTTTGTCCTTAAGTTCCAGAGTGCAAGTGTTTTTCAACACCATGCTTTCACCCAACACTCTTATCTAACATGTTTGGTTTGCTAATAGTGAAAAAAGTACTTAGATATAAATGGCCCCCTAGGGCCAAGTGGGTTAGGGACAACTCATTTGAATTAATATTGTATCTTACAATGGCAGTGTTATCAAATATCAGTTATGGCAGTGCCATTGCGCCTAATGGTGGCATTTTTCCCCCATGAGCATGGCGGTTTTTAACATGTTGTGGATGGTGGCGCCATGTTGGCTGTTACTTGCCTGGCGGCCATGGCTGAAAATGTGGTTTTCATGGAAAAAAATGAAATGGGCCTCTGACCCGATCCAATCCAGAGTGATCCACGAGTACCAAAACCCTAAAAAATGTCTTTTTCCTCCCTCTCACACGTCGCGACTTCTCTCTTTTTGAGTTTGAAATTCTTCTCATTTTCGTCCTCAATGTCTCTTTTCTTGTTCTCAGCGTCTCTGAATCTCTTCTCCGCACTGCTGCATGTCCAGCAACTGCTGCTGTCACTGCTCCTGCAAGTCTATTTTTCTGGTGAGTGCACTTTTTTTTTTTTTTGTCCTTTATTATTTCCCTCTCCATTTCATGTCATTCCGTTACTTTTTTTTCCTCTCTCTCTCTACTCCTTGACTTCATTTTCGATTTCCCTTTTTTGAGTTTTTCCCTCTCTTATTCTATTTTTTCTCCATTCTGTTTTTGTTTTCACTTCCAAGTTTCCTTCTCCATTTTTTTAATTCTGTTTTTCTGTTATAATTTCAGCTTTTTTCCCCCCTCTATTTTACAACCATATTTTTTCTTCCATATGTAGTTAGTTTTTCATTTTTATATCACATTTTGCAATTTATATATAATTTTATTATGACTGTCATAACTGCCATGTTATCTGCCATAATTTTATTGCAGTTTTTTTTGCTGTCTACACATGACTCACCATCCACCATTGTATAGTGGTCTTAACTGACTTGGCCTGCGTGGCCCTTTTGGCCCTATGGGCTGTATATATTTTAGCCCTAGCCCACATGGATTAATGCTAAATTGGTTAGGGACTTAGGGTGGTTCATTTGACACCTATACCAATCAAGGTTTAGCTGGTTGGTTGCCATGTGGGCTTTTTGGTCTGGGCCATATGTATTAAGGCTGAGTGGAGTGGGCTAAACCAGTTGGACAACTTTTCCTAAGCCCCCTAAACCCTAAGGATAAGCCTGAAGCTCCAGAAGCTATGCAGGGAACTTTGCATCTCTCTTGAGAATCAGATCTTCAACTTTAGTCCTTCCATGAATAAAATTTTGTATTGTTTATCGGCAAAATATTTGCATAGAAATATATTCCTGTACTGATGTTTTTTGTTTTAGTTGTTGGCAGATACCAAAATAAGAGCCAAAGAAGTTTGAATGTCATCATGTCTGGTTACATTAGACGAGCATTCTCGTACCGTAACATGTTGCTCCGAACCTCTGGTGTTGTTCACATTTGTGACATGTCTCACATTAAAACTTGTATGTTTGATAGCAATAGAGTTTTTACTCTCCAATCAATGCCCAAGTTTATGGTAGAGAGTCGCAGAGCCTTTGCCAAAGGACGAAAGTCAAGTATGTCTTTGCTTCTTCCCTCACAAGTAATTTTTTTCTTATACCTATCAGTTCAATTTTTAGTCTTTTGTTTGTTTAATTTAAGGAGGGGAATTTATTATTAAATATTCCCGCCCCTTTGAATTTTTATTATTTTTTTTATGGATGTTTTTGTGATACTATGTGTTTTATGATATTTTAGGGAAATTTTCAATTATTAAACAAGTTTTAGGATGCATTTAGTTGAGAAATGTTTCGGAAAGCTGGTAAAAAATGTTCCTATGTTTCAGATGCATGTTAGTTTTCTAGGATTTGAATTGAGCCTGCAGCTTTTGAAAATAAAATGTTCAAGCAATGAAGGTTTGTAAATGTATTCATGATTGTAAATGCATAGCCATGGTGCATACAGTGTTTCTAAATCTTTTTTATTTTTCATCCTGGGCTGCAATCAGCTAACTTGAAGGTTTGAGCTGTTAGATTTGACAATTGATATAGGATTTTTCTGATTGAAGTGTGTTGATACCTAATTCTTGCCTGATCAAATTTCTTTATTGAATGATCAGAGTGTGCAGTCCGTATTATTGTGCCTAACTTAATTCAATACACACTTCAAATATTATTTGATTTTAATGATCATTGGTTTATATATTTTAGAGGATGAAGGGGGTGTCAGTACAATTGAAGTTCCCCCAAACCTAGGGCCTACTATTAAGGCAAATGCTATCTCACAGATGGAAGCTGCAATGGCTGCATTATCAGCAGAACTAAACAAGCTACGAACAGGAAGGGCATCTCCAGGTTTGTTAATGTGTGTCATAATTGTTTACAGATGATCTCTGTGTATGTTATAGTTATTACTAAATGCACTAATGATTGTCGTGTCACTACAGGAATGCTTGACCATATTATTGTTGAAACTAGTGGTGTGAAGATGCCTTTGAATCGGGTTGCTGTTGTTTCAGTTATAGATTCAAAAACGTTATCTGTTAATCCTTATGATCCACAGGTATTTTATCTTTAGGAGTTGGGAGTTTGCTATTTGTAGAATGCTTTGTACTAACTAGTATTACTTTTTGCACACGATATGATTAATTTCTGCAGACACTTAAACAATTAGAGAATGCCATTGTTTCATCTCCATTGGGGTTAAATCCTAAGTCAGATGGTGAAAGATTGATTGCTGTTATTCCACCGTAAGCTCTTATTTTATTGACATTCAGTTACTCGTGCCTATAAGAGTGAAGTTTGTCCGGTTATGGTATTGGTGGCTATTAAAGAATTTGAGTTTTATGTACATTGTACATAGTCAGATAGATAACTAACTTCTTCTCCATGAAATTACCAGATTGACCAAAGAGCATATGCAGGTAAGCTCATTACACTTCACTTATTTATGGTTTATACTTTAAAACACTCCTTATCACATAGCATGCTGTTATATCCTTTGTTTGACATTTATTTTAGGCTATGAGTAAATTGGTTGCTAAATCATGTGAAGATGCTCGCCAAAGTATTAGAAGAGCTCGGCAAAAGGTGTGGTGTGGCTTTGATATTTCTTGACTTTTTTGTTAGATATGCCTTGTATTAATTTGAGTAAGGGATTGAGAAACATTTATACTTGTATTAATTCTCCCTTGTGCTGAATCTTCTCAAAACATCTTTAACTAGAGTTACTTTTTGTCAGACGTTGATTAACACCATATTTAATACTTAAGCATTCTGATGGGTTTTCAAATATGCAAGTGGTGCTTTTCTTTATACTCCATTCACCCTTGAAGAAGTAGATGCTTTTCTCCTCCTGATCTAAAATGCCTGAATTTATTATTACTATTATAAGAGCAGACAAAATAATTTAAGACAAAAGAATGCAAGAATAGGAGGGCCTGGTCCTAAGGCAAAGGTTATCTTTATATTTCAAATTAAAGGGGGTGGTCCTTTTGCCATTATTATTGGTCGTTGTTGTTGTAAGTATGCTGTAAATTTTTGCTGATTGTGATTAAAAATGTTGTTAACTTTCAGGGAATGGATGCAATTAAAAAATTGTATTCAAGCCTCCCAAAGGATGACATAAAAAGATTGGAGAAAGAAGTATGTTGTACATCCTTATTGCAGCTGATAAGATAACAGATTCCATAGCTTTGGTACTTCAATTTCTGATATTTCCTTCTTGCAGGTTGACGATTTAACAAAAAGATTTATCAAGACTGCAGAAGATATATGCAAGGCAAAGGAGAAGGAAATTAGTCAAGGTTGAGATCTGGTGTTATTGTGATATTTTTCAGAGGATTTACTGCTTCATTTCTCCTATAAATTTGTTATGGCATGAAATTTGTCTGATCTTTGGTCGAGTGCCACTCGATCAGTCATTACATGTAAGGACTATTATGGTGTTATGGCAATTTTGAATATATAAAGGATGAAACTTTCAGTTTCAACCTGTTGGTTTGGAGTTACAGCATTGAGAAGGCTGCCGGATGTTGTGGTTGATCAACATCTTGTGTTTACGGTAACTTCCTTCGTTAGTCTAAATTTGTATGTTCAGTTCTAATTATAAGCAGGGGGTGTATAAGATTTAAATGGGGGATATTAGGTAATGAAGCTGGCACCCGAGTTTACGATAGGATTTGTTGGCGTCAAGTCGCATGTTTTAGCTGTTTTGTGTTGATTTTGTCATTGCTTGATGCTGTTCATGCTTCAAAGCATTTGTTAATTTTTTGTGTGATGTTTGTAAGCATGAGGTCAAAGGATTAATGACAAATTTGATTTATCAAAATTACATTCATGCAATCTTTATGTTTTTTAATTGTTTTTGGTTTCTTTATCAATAAATTGGATTTAATTCTGGTGCTCAAGTTTATACAAGACAGTAGTGTGTTTTTTTAGACATGGGAAACCGAAGAATTTACATGTTAGATCAAAGACTAAAAGGGTACTAATTTTTTACTTCAAGGATGGGATTATAAACATTCTAGCATCAAGATGGGTATTTTAGCTGCATTTTAGACTTAGATGTCGATGTTGTTCATGCATTCTAGATTTTTATTAATTTTCTCTTTAATTATGATTTTTAATTCCCTGGGTCAAAAGATTAAAGACAAAATTAGATGAAAATTTATAAAACAATCTATATGTATGTAGTAATCAATAATTTATTATTTAAGAATATAATTGGATATATTCGACGCATTAAAAGTGTACGTATTTTATTATCAATGGAATATGTGACGTCCTTTATAATGTCAAAATACTATTACATTGGCACATGTTTTCTTTTATAAATGTTGACGGTAGAAAATACATTTTAAAATGAATAAAAGTACAAATATTAGTCATAGAAAGAAAAGTTACAAAAATTAGTGTTAATATAAAAACCTTTAAATCATCGTCAGGTTAAGATTACGATCATATTTTAGTTATTTTAAGAAAAATAAGAACTCTTCCCACAATTTAATTTATAAAATTTATAATCAAGGAGAGAAAATTTAATGATTATGTTGCCTTGCCCCTTACTGGTTTACCAAGCATACGTCAACAGCTTTTAGTACAACTCTCAAATGTTTGGAATAGGCCTGTCAAGTATCCGTAAATTTAAGGCTTAGGTTACAAACATTTTTATATATGAAGACTGCATGGTGGTAAAAACATTTCATCATATCACGTGGAAACAAAGTCTATGTGATATTTCTCAAAATGCAATTACACGACATTATTTTGGAAAAAAAAAAGGTGGCCATGTAAATTGCTGCATTGTTTATGTACTAAATTAATGGATATGAAATCAATTTTTATACTATTATGACTGATTTAAAACTGAATACAACAACTGGTACAAATTAAATAGTAAAGCCATGATTTAATAAAATTGAAAAATTATTGACATTTGTTATGGACGAATTCTAAACTCATTCAAGAGGAAGTACTTGTATGCAATATATATCAATGTCTTGTAACTAGGCTGTTAGCTCCAACAATATTTCTATTGAAGTTTAAAAATTTATAGAAGAACAAGAAATTACTTGACTTATTAAATTTTTTAATGAGATCTTAAAATTTAAAAATATCTCAGATAAATTTAGAAAAAATACTTTAATCTTTATATCCAAGAACAAGGGCAATATTTAGATTTAAGCAAACTACAAATAAATAAGACTTATGAATTATACCATAAAATTATGGAAAAAGGTGATTTAGCATAGATCAAAAGAAGAAACTAGGATTGCAAAAAATTAATTTAGTTTTATGCCAAAGTTTATAAAAAATTTATATATCTATTATAAAATTTAATGAAAAAGTACTAATACAAAAAAAATGATTTATATATGTTTTTTATTATCTTAAAAAGACATATAATTGTGTATTAAGAGAAGCATTGTGAAAGGCTTTAGAAAGGAAAAAAGTGCATATAACATGTATTTGAACTATAAAAGACATGTGTGAAAGAGTAACTACATATATGAAAACTCTTAGATGCATATCTAATAACTTTCTTAAAGGATTTACATTAAGACTCTGTCTTGTATTTTTACTTGTTTAACCTAATATGAACTTTTAAATGTGTTTACTAAACACATACAACAAATTATCTTTAAATACATGTTCTTTGCAAATGACAGTATTAGTTGAGAAATAAAAAAAAGATTAATGTTAACTTAATTATAAAGGAAGTCTTTGAATTAGCAAAAGTCAGACAAAATATATGCATTACAATTTCAATAAAAAATAAAATAAAGATCATACATTAAAAGTTAAAATTGAATATAATATTATGTCTCTAAGTTCATGTACTTAGAATCAATTTTATGGAATAATAAAAAAAATTAATAAAGATATTGACTATAGAATACAAGATGATTAGTTAAGGAGAAGAAAAATATCAATAATTATTTGTAACCATAAAGTATCTATAAAATTAAAAAGAAAGTTTTATCATACTACAATATAAACAGTTATCCTATATGATAGTGAATATTATACTTTAAGAGAACAACATAAAAAAATAAGAGTAATAGAAATGAGAATATCAAGATGAATGAGTGATCACATAGCACAGGATAAGATAAGAAATGATTCTATGCACTCGCATATTAGAATAACATCCATAGTAAAACAGATAACAAAAAATCGTTTAAGATGATTTAATCATATACAAAAAAGGTCATTAGAAACATTAGTAAAAAAAGTGAAAGATATAACTTTTAGTCTAGTAAAAAAGGATAAAGAGAGACTCGGAGGAACCTTAGTAAAAATTATTTTAAAAAGTCTAGTGATAAATAATATTTCTGATAATTAGATTTTTCCTTTTGAGTTCAATAACATCATATAATTTATGTAGTCGAACTCACTAATTGAGATAAGACTTAGTTGTTGTATAAATCAATGTTCTTCTCAAGGTATTGTTAAAAGTAGAAATATTTTTGCTAAAAAGTGTTATTATTGCATTTCTACTATGATTTCCAAAGCACTCCAGCTTGATTTAAAAAAAAACAATAAAATTGTTTATTTATTCTTAACCGGTGCCTTTAGTGAAAAGCTAAAAATATACATAAGAAAAAGTAATAGGTGAAAGTGTCCAACCATCAAGCCATCATTTCAAGTAAGCAATGTGCATTATGCGCTAGGCCTTTATAAAGATATCCTTAATCAAAGACCCTTCTTGAAAAGAACAATTTTCAATAGGACTGCACAAATTCTTCCAGCAAAACAAATTAACCAACTAAAGATAATGACCGATGTGCTCAAACAACAGGAAATTATGTGTAGGTTTCTAGTTCTATACTAAATTCTCAAAAGGTAAACTGCCCTTATAACTAATAGAAAACACTATAGCAATTCGAGTCTTAGGGGATCAAAATGTGCAGTGTAGGACCTGAACTCCTAATCGCAAAGAAAAGGTTGGACAGAGGTAGTGTTTTTTCCTTTCAAAACGAAACCTAAAGAGTCATGTCGCTCACATGATTGCATGCTTGATTGTTTCAGATCATTTATTCTAGACAGGTCCAAAATTTTTAAGTGGCCATACCTACATACAAAACATCAAAAGATTAGGCGAAAATGAAGATAAAAGGAGACCAAAAGGAAGTGATGGCTTGTGCGTGTCTTCAGAGTATACACAAGCTTACCCTCCAGCACATCTTGCTCTCAATAAGACCATAAGGAACAGGACCAAAATTTCTTGAATCCTTACTCTTATAGATATTATCTCCCTGTACCCAAACGTGACCTTTTGGAACCTACAGAAGGAAGGTAGATTTAGACAACAAAATCTCTATAATTCATTAAACAATGGAGAAAATCAACAAATGTCAAAATTCTCTAGAGTCTAGACCAAAAGATATAAACAAGCATTTATCAAGCCTATTCTTAAAATGAAGAAGCAATAATGCCAGTTTCAAACTAGTTTTCTAGGAAAAGAAAAGTAGTTTCAAAATGACTAGTAAAGCAAAACTAAATTAAAATATCAAAAACCACTAAAAATGAGAATTTCTTTATAAGAAATTGACCATACCACAACTGTCTCATGCTTATCGTTGTCCTTAGGATTAGAAAGGTATGTAACAGTATCACCCTCCATCCCAACCAACCGTTTCGTCATATACTTTCTAGGGCATTGAGGAGACCGTAAGATTATAATATCTCCACGAGCAACTTTACCAAATCGGGTTGATATCCTTTCACCAAGAAACAAGCTCTCTGTCAAATCAAATGTAGGAAGCATGCTAGGACCATAGGTCTGCAGCATAAGAACTGGTTACTAGTTAATCATAAAATATAATTTAAGACAGGTTCAAGTAGAAATCATGCTTACAAGAACAGGGGTGACCACATAGGCATTGGTAACATGTAGAAAACAGAGGTACTTTGCAACAGAGAACGCTTTTTCCCATCCTTCTTTAATAAAAAGCACAAATACGCTCAGGTTTCTCAATCCCATCACTGCTCTTTTCCTCTCCAGGTAAAAATCCCAAATATTGTTATTCTGAGTGGAAAAAAAGTGCTCTGTTCACCATTACCAAACCAAACACATTAGATCTGAGTGTTCAGTGAAAGCATGGTGTTGAAAAACACCTGCACTAGTGGCACTTTAAGACAAAGACAGCAATAATATGGTATGGAGGTGGAAGATTACAGTGGTGTGCTGAGCTCCACCCTCAAACTATTATATGCAGGATAAGATTGGAATACAATTCACTTTCAAGTTTCCTTGGTGGTGAAATAGTAGACACGTGAGACTCAAAATCTTGTGCTAAAGAGCATAGAAGTTTGAGTCTTCTTCAAGGCATAATATTGAGATCATGGGGATTATTAGGTAAAAGGGAAAGTCACTATAATAATTCTTGTACATCTACAAACAAGCATTATTTTCAACCACAATACCAAATATTTAAACCAAAGGGAAAAGGGGAAGAGGCTCCAAAGCCACTACCAAATCTTATAAGGTATCCCCCCTTCAGATTTTTCTCCCAAACAGGCTCAAAATAGCTTCTGTAGCACTTGAAAAAACCCTCCAATTTGAATCAATCTTTTATATTTAGAAAAGAAATTAAAGATGAAAAAAAGTAGACAACTTGTGAACTAAACACAGACCAATCACAAATAATACCCCAAATCAACTCAAAGTAAAGTATTAAACCAGCCCTAAGGTCCACAAGAGGGAGAGATAGACCAAGATTAATAGTTGAAACAGATAGTGAATGAAATGATGTGGACCAGAATGTGCACTAAGCCACTATAAACCTGTTAATTTCCTTCCCATAGGACCTAATCACAGGTCTACATGTGGAAGAATTATTCTTATGACCAATAGCGAATTTGAAATTTAGGGAAACAGGCTCATCCTTGACAGAGCCTCTTTTGAGATAACTAATTCTAATAATAATAGCTCGTAATTTATTGAATACTTTTAGTCCCTTCAAAGATTTTTAACACGAGAAAGGAATCTAAATGATATGATCTTATAGCCAACAAAAGGAAACAAATCGTAAATCATGATCTCAGCTAATAAAAGAAAATAGATCCTAAATCAATTAAGGATATTCTATGAAGGAAACAAATAAAATTTTAATTGCTGTCATGCTGCATCTACTGCTGCTCCACAAATGTGTCCACATCAAAGCTTTGGAATTACAAAACAAACTAGCAGTTACAACCAAATGAGTCTTGAAATTTCTATGATATTGGCAATTTGGCAGAATCATGAGTTTCATCATATCACGAATTAAGGATTTTCTGTAAATGACGGAAGACAAGGGAATTTAACATAATTTGGCAGAACTCGTTGCACGTGGATAAGACAATAAAGTTATATGACAAGATAAATTCCATGTTATTTTTGCAATCAACCTAAGTTCAATTGCAGAAAAATTCTCCAGGAAAGAGACTCTTAAGTACAATCATATCGGAATAGAGTCTCTCACTTTCTAAAGTCCAAACCAATTTACACAAAATTCACAAACTGGTTCAAGCCTTTCAAGAAATCACATTCACATCACCAAAAGAAAAAAACAGATCAAGGTATAGATTTGGTGAATTTGTCACAAGTCACAACCCAGAAACTCAACCACAAAATGGAGTTTTGTCATCTCCAGCATCAAGCATATGCACCGACATCAATGCATTACCTTGAAGTGTAACTGTAGATCAGTGGTATGAAGGAAGAACAATAACAAGGGTATGTGGTGGATGAAGTGTGTGTCAAAGTTAACGGTGGAGTAGATGGATTGCAAGGGATCAGAGTCAAGCAACTCTCTCAAAGGGTATGTTTGCCAATGGGAAAGGAAGGAAACTTGCAAAGGAATTGAAAGAAAATGAAACAAGGATAATGATTTTAAACATAACAAACAAAGCTAACAAAACTAAGACAAAGGGAAAAAATAAATTCGACGAAATAAATTAATCAAAAAATAAAAATCATGTTTATTGTTAGCTTATAATATAATAGAAGTAATAGTGTACTCACATTATTTTTTACTTAATAAATCAAATTCAGATTTTTCTCAACTTTTAAGGTAACTTGTCAAACAGCCTCAAGAAGGATGTTATTTTACACATTTCCAATCAGAAACAAACAAAAAAAAAACATATCTTAGAATAGGGCACCTTCCATTTACAAGTGAGGATAAAGAATAATAAACCAACATCAAGTCGATCAATTCAGGCTAGAAGCTGAAAAAGTCCCTAATTGGAGAACAAAACTGGACAGTTGAACAAAGACTTGTGATACAAATCCTTGCATCAATTATCACGGAAAATATTAAGCAAGAGATGTGTAACCAACATCACATAAGCTCAGCACTCACACACACATTCTCTCTCTCTCTATGCGTGGTTCAGAACATACATTTCAGTTTGGAATCAAAATCGAAATAGAACCAATTTACATTAGAAAAGGTGATGCAAACTTAACCCTGAAAGAACAACAAATACAAGTCGCATTAGATCTTGTCAGCGACTAACATGTGGAGTAGCATGCTAGGACTAACATAAACATAATTAGCATTTACAGTTATCAGATATCAATGAAGCACGGATACTTCAAAATTGGCAATGTACCCATGTCATACTCGGACATGATACTCAATATGCAAATCTTACAACTGCCCCACACTAATGCTTGATTGCACTACCTTCAAATGTTTGACTATACATTATCTGGGAGGGCATCGGAAGCAGTCATGTAGCAGAAAAGAAGCATGAACAAAGAAAAGGAAACAAGATAGAAATTCGGCCATATATTCATATACGTCGATGTGGTATATGCATGCAGAACTCACTGTTTCTATGGAATAATTGAGCCTGGTAAGATCAAAATTTAAAGACACTAATTCAAGCATCAAGGATTAAAATGATTTAGGTTTTAGAAACAACAAAGCAATCAGTGTCATACTTCAATAACGATTAATGCCACCAAAATACAACTTACCTTCTGATCTGCTTTATACTTTGATCTGTCACTGGAGTCAGAAGCCACGGCAGCTTTGCGTGCAAATGCAACTGCAAAACAGAAATCGTTTTAGCCAAATATTCCAGAATTGGCAGAAGAAAAGGCAAAAAATTCATATTGACAAGTCTAATTACAGACAATGTAGCCAAATTGATAATAGAAAACCAAAACACGTGAGCTTAGATCAAAAGACACTAATTGCTGCATAGGATGTGACAAATTCACATGTGAAGCATACACTTTCAGAATTCACAAATTTAACAGATATGAAACTTTGTAAACATTCTGGTATGCAAATTGCAATCGAAGAGAGCATTTATTTGGACTAAAACCCAACAAAATAGAAGCACCTGAATAAGACACCTTAGACAGAACTCCAAAATCCCCCGAGTAGCTTCTGCCCTTTCAGCCCTGTTCGTTTTTTTTTTTTTGTTTCTTTCTCTGGTCTAAGGCTTGTTCTTACTTTAGTGAAAAGAATCCAAAACAAGCCAAAACTCGACTCGGTCTTAATCCGTATGGGCCAGGCCGAAAAGCCCACATAGCAGCTTGCTCGCTGAACCTCGATCAGAAATCAAGACAAATAAAAAATGTTGGGTGTCAGACATACTATCCTTTCTTGAATTCCTTACGAAAGGCCATATCTGTTTTAAAATATGGGTATCATTTTAGTTCTGAAATGTCAATTGGACTAAGTTTATTTTCTTCATGTCCATGACTTTAGAGTTGCAAATAAATGATGCCCGGTTCAAAAGCAATTAGAACTTTGAAAAGATATATACAATTTTTTGTAAGCATTTTTCTAGATTAATCTTAAAATTGATGAGATATTATATTTTTTTTCTAAATTATACTAAAATATTAAATAATATTTACATTTAAAAAAAAAAAAACTACTCAACAATTGTTAAAAGTATCAATAATTATGGTGGTAACAATTGTAGTGTAGTTGTGATCATGATTGAAATTAAGTGATAACAGTGATTATGCTTATAACATCAATTGATTGGACTATATTTACAATGATGTCTACATTAGTCATAATGATTGTTGTTATGTGTATGAAAAAAAAATAATTTTACAACAAGTCAAAAATTTAAATTACTTATTCTAGTTTTAAAAAATAAGATAAAATTATTTTGAAATCGAGTTAAAAAATTAATCCAGCTCTATTTTAGTTGAATATATTATTTTAGAATTATATTTAAAAATTAAAAGCTAACAACTTTTTAATTTTTAAATACAAATTTTAAGATAGAATTTATTTGCTAAAAAACAAGTTAAATTGGCTTTTAACTAAATTTTAAAATCATTTAGCTTTTAAAATAAAAAAAGTATTTTTAATTTTATTTTTAATTATAAAACAAATATTCAATAATTATTACTATTATTATTTGTATAACTTTCACAACTATTATTAGTCAATGATTATTATTACCATTTTTATCATCTTCATCATAGTAATTGTTATTATTGTCAATATCATTATTGTCATCATAATTATCATTGTTGCCACCACTATTACTATAATATTTATCAATGTTATACTTATTATTATTATCGTTATCACTTTTGTGACCATAATTATTTATGTTACTACCACTATTACTATCTTTACTAATTTCATTGTTGCTATCATGATGATTGTTATTATCACTGCTATCACTACCATTACTACTACTATAATATTTATTAATGTTGTAATCATTATATGATCAATATCACTTCTATTATCATTGTTAATGTTACTATTACTACAACTATAACTATCAATGTCATTAACATAACTATTACCACTCATGTTTATTACTAAGTCTATTGTTATTATTTTTGTCACCTCTCTTTTTTTTAACCCTTATTATTATTTTATTATTAGACAATTTTGTTTTAAAAATAAATGTGTGATTGTTGTTATTTAAATTTAACATTTAGTATTAAAATTTAAAAATGGAAAATTATGCAAATTTGAAAAAATTATAAAAATTAAAAGTGATTTTGATCTTTAAATATTTTTAAAAATAAA